CTGGATTCTGTTCCTCCCTCTACAAATATACTGTTTGGGACTTGGTGGAAACCAGTCAATCTTTCCAGCTCTTAATTTCCCTCCCTTGTAGATTATGCCTCTATGAGTTGAGTGCCCCTAGGTCCCTGTAGCACTGTGACTCCATGATTCTGATTAACCTGGTCTGTATCCAGTTCATGCTGCCTATCAATCTCATGGAGGAGAAATAAGAAAGCTTATCTTCTAGTGTCACTTTGTCCACCAATTGGCATTTTGAGCTCGTTCAAATCATTTAATTTCCCTGAGATTCCATCTATAGAAGTCTGTTTTAGCCAAAAATTCTACAATTCCACAACAACGGCATCCTGAATTACCTTCTCTGGCTATTCACATTATGATTTCTAATGTGTTTCAGGAAAAAAAATTGGTTCAAAATATTATCAAAATTACTTTTAAATGTTTCAAAAGTCAGCTCATTAAACAACACATCTTTATCAAAATATAGCATATCTTCATTTATGTCTCCCAAATGGAAGGTTTTATCTTAAATATCCAATCAATGTTCATTATCTTTGTAAGTTCACTTATGAAAATGTACAGTAAAATTAGTTACCATTTTATTTAGAAAAATTCCTTGACTCCATGGGACTACCACGCTCTAAGAGTCACTAGCTGTGCCGCTGTACCAATAATTTACTCAAATTACATGCAGAAATTTCAGAAAGTTCAAACTAAGCCAAAAGACTTTGAGTTGTCCTCTACAAGTAAAAATGTGATTGGCCCTTTCAAATGAAACAAACTTGTTATCAGCAAATATTTATACAAAAACTTATTGATAACCAAATGGTTTAACTAGCCAGACTTTAAATGAAAAACTCAGCATGATGAGGCTCTGTAGATAAGGAAATGGATAAAAGGGTATCCATCCATCCATTCATTCATCCAATAAACATTTGTGGAATTCTGGTAGGTGCTAAACATCTCTGAGCTGGGGATGAAAAAGTGATAAGTGATGGCTCTTTCCCAGGGGATATTCCCAACCTAATAAACAATACAAATGTGCAAATAAGTACAGCGCTCTGCGAGGAGTTCTATACTAGAGGAATATATAACATGAAAGGGAAGAGAGTGTAACTAATGGTCTAGAAATAAGGAACAACAGATTCAGACTCCCTCACAAGGATATGGGATATAGATTAGCTATATGTGAAATATTAAAAGATAAGAATAAGTTATAAAAACAAGCATGCAACAGAAAGGAACCTACGTTTTAGAGAAAAACAAGACTTCTAAATATGTAAAGTTAAATTGTTGATATTTGAAACTCAATAGACTGGTTGAGCCTATGTAGTAAATAGAAGAAAGAAAATAGAATACATGGAAGCAGCGTGTGAGACAGAATGAGATGGTCTAACACATATATAATCCGAGTGACAGGAGAAGAGGATGTTTAGCAGTACCCTGGCCTCCACCCACTAGATGTCGACAGTACCCCCTCCCCTCAGTTGTGAAAATCCATGTCATCAGACATTGCCAGACATCTCTGGGGGACAAAGTCACTCTAGCTGAGAACCACGGCCATAAATGACATATGAGAAACAGAAAATACTGGCCTATGTCACTCATGGTTAGGGATGCAATAATCCTAAACAAAATAATAGCAAACTGGATTTAGTTGCAAATAAAATGATAAAAATCCAGCTGGAGTTTTTCCTGAAATGCAAGGATGGTTGCATATTTGAAAAGCTAGAAATATCATAACCCACACTAACAAATTAAAGAAGAAAAACCTTTATCCTCTCTCTCTCTGTCTCTCTACATATACACATAAAATATATATAATATATAAACATATAATATATAAAATATATATATCAATATCCCCAAAGTGGATATATATATATTTTGTAAATAAATATATATAGTTTATAAAAATATAAATTCATATAAAATTAGCTTTGTAATTATTGTTATAATTTATATAAGTATATACTTATATATTTATACATATTATTTATTTACATATCATATAATACATACAATATAATATAAAATATATGTAATATATGTGTAAATATCCTCACAGTGTCCAGAGGCAGGCAGTTCTTTCCTCTCTTTATTTTCCGCTTTAGTCTACACCTTACAAGAATCCATCTGCACTGTGAATTGGAAGCCACGCTTTACGTTCAGTGCTACGCCTCAGAGAAGGGGATATTCACAGAACTGAGCTAAGCAGAGGCCTCCTCCACAAGTTTAGAGCTCTTTGGAGGAAAGTTTAAAGAATAAGATTAGCTACCAAGGTCATTATAAATGTTTCAATTCCATTGAAGGGTAGATTCTATATTTATTTTAATGTAGAATTAAATAAAATTCTACATTATTTTATTGTTGAATTAAAATACAATTCAACCATATTGAATTGTCCCTAACAAATGTCCCCTAAAATGCTGATCTGTATTTTAAAAAGCAATTTAGAGAAGTTAAATCCAATTTATATAAATGCAAATAAAATGTCTTTCAAATAACTGTTTAATTCTATGGCTGTAGCATTCAACACAAAGGTCTCTGAAACCAACTGACCTTTACTGTTAGCATCCAGTACATAAACATGAATGAGTCATTAGTGCACTCACAAGAATTCAAGTGCTCACTGGGTTTAGAATGCACTAAACTTCAAAACGATCTCTATTATTTTTATTTAATTATGCACATAAACAAATGTGAGATCAGTGTATGTCCAGCAATCAAGCAAGCTGAATCTGCATCATCACCATGTCTTCCAAATAGTCGTTCAAAAAATGAGAAAGAAAAAATGCTAAGAAGTATGAGACTGAGAGAGGTGGTCTTCACTGGTGAGTTGCTCCACTCTATACCACCATCCCCAGGTCTGCATCTAGATAAGTATGAAGTTAGTCTTAACTCAGTATCAAACTCTTGATTCTCACAAATACTGACCTTACTCCTATTCAGTTTGTACAAGAGGACCATGTTAGATGAAACCACAGAAATCACTTCTCTAAATACTTTGACATTATGTGAGTGACCAAGAATAACTAACTTTAATGAAATATGTGATAATTGCATGTAAATGAATTAGTGGGCATAATCTAACATGCCTTATCAGCCTAACAGTTATTAGAAAAATAATAATAACAATTGTCATACCTAACAATGGCTAAGTGCTATGCTAGGTACTTCAAAAATATCTATAACAATAATGATAATGATAACAGTAATATTCAGACAAGAAGAAACGAAGAGTTCGCTGCCTATGAGGAAAGAAAGGGGTCATAACAAACAATATTCTCACAGTACAGGCCATCTGTCTTCAGCAGTCATTGTCCTACCTTTAATTTGGCCACCATGGGGTCCTTGACTTCTTCTCTTCTCAGGTATAGAATTGATACTGGGAACACCATTGCCAAACAATCTCATCAAAAATAAAGATTATCTCACTTGAATGAAAAAGAGCCTGGGTGAATTTATGGATTGCCTTTATAAATTTACACCCTTTCAGGCAGAGGACCCTGCCAAGGGTGAAGGCTGTCTCAGAAAGGCGCAGATGCAGTTGCTCTTGAACATCTGACTGCCTACCTGGAGCCCTTCCTGCGGCTGCCTGCCAGAGCCATGTCAGGAAGGACTAAACCACAGTGCTTCCTGAGAATCTGACAAACTCTCCAACCTGTCTACAACTTGTCTCGTCTTGGCAGTCCCAATGAAACTCACAGCCCCAGCCCCAGTTGTCTTCAGCTGAATGTCTTTTGTTTGTTTTGTTTTCTCCTACCAACTTATTCACATACGCCCCATCAGGAATAGACACTGTCGGGGGAAAAAAATGTGTGTGATTTTGTAAGTCCAGTAGGATAACATAGTTAGAAGAAATACATTTCTATGCAAGCTAAAAAAAAAACACCTGAATACATAAAATGCTCAAGCATTTTAGTAGTATGTATAAAGAAGGGAAAAAATCAGAAAGGACAGTTATAAGGCATGGTACAAATCATCCTTTTAGTGTGGCTATCTCCCCTTTTAGAGAAGAATAGAAGGAAGCAGTCTCTAGTCCTCATTACATTCTCAATATGGGCAACAACTGAGTTCATAATTGAGAGTACAATTCGTAGTTATCATTTGAACACCTACTATACGCCACCCACTATGCTAGGTGTTGTAGATGCATTATCTTATTTAATTCACACAGCAACTTTTTTGGTTCTAAGAACTACCATTATCCTAAATTTTACAGATGAGAAAAGAGTCTTGGTAAGATGAAACAACATGCCCAAGGTTACATAAATTGTTAAGTGACAGAGCTAAGTCTCAAACCCGGGCCTCTTTGAATCCAATGCACTTACCCTTATGCCACAATGCTTTAAAACACCATTCTGTAAGGTTTTGGCTTATGTTTCAATCTTTGCCTCTAATCATTGAGCTCCTTCAGGGCAGAAATTATTTCTCATTAATTTTTATATCCCCAGAGCGTGGAATAATGCCTGATACAGAGCAGGAACTCAATGATTGTCAAACGAACAAAATGATGAATGAATAAATGAAGGAAGGAAGGAATTTGTTTTAAAAGGAGATAGAAAATTGGAGTTCTTGAAAAAAGCAAACTAATTCTATACTAAGAATACGAGTCCTGTGGTTAGTTTTGTGCCCCTCCATTTCTATTGTAGCAACATATGAGTATTCTATGATAAGCACCATTTTTACTTTAGAATTAAATGAAATGCTTTCAAAAATATGTATTTTACACAGGGATTTAAATGAACGATTGAAATTCCATAATCAGAACATGACACAACCAAACCAGCGTATAATCATATGTTTCCTATAATAAGCTACTTGAAGTGTTCTTAGGGTTACAATTTTGTAATCTAGACATGAGAGGAAGATCTGTGCTCTTGACAACATTCAACACACAGGCACTTCAACTGGCTCTAGATAAAAGACAAACCCCCTCATTTGCATTACATACATGCTCTCTCTTTCCTTATCAGTAAGCAGACAGTCCTAACTGTTACCTTCACATCCTCTGCCATCGCCCTCCAGTTTCTGGCCAGCTTGACACTTGCAGTAATAACTGCCAATTGTATTACAGCATTGGTTCTGACAGCCATCATTGTCAATGGTACATTCATTTATATCTGCAATTGAATATTTAAACAGAATTAGCTTCCTATAACTAGACACACAAAAAGACTTCAGTGGCTCCCCTAAAAATGTACCATCACAGAGTGACATCATTCTTTGATCTCAGATTAAAATGAGATAAAACTATAACATCTCATTTTCATTACAGCTAATGCACTCTAATTTTGACATAAGGAAAAAAAACATTATAATCTTTGATATTTGAAATATTTTTGCAGAGTGTACTGAGTTGTCTAGTCTTACGGAATTTGGAAGCTTACAGTACAGATCCAGAAATGATGACATCATCTGAGGATGAGACTGAGAACAGAGTGAGAAATTAGCGAGTCAAAACACTAGGTCACCTACTTATCCATTAAATATGTTGTTATTGGCTTCTCCAATACATAATTACTGAGGACCCATGACTACATATTTGTACTAGAAAGTGTGAGGAAGGTACAAGGGTAGTTCCACGGTTTCCAATATTTAAAATCCAGGTGGGGTTGAGGATTAAACAGAAATGTTATTTGGTTGTGTCCACGTAGAGGATATGCCCACAGCCCACTTCTATAACTGTGGCCAAGAACCATCTTTATAGCTAGGGCTCAATTTTATGTATTCCACCCCCACCTCCACTCAGCTTACAGCTGATAAGTATGCCAACCCATCTGTAAGTTTGATAGTGGCATGCTCTGCTCAAGAGGCATTTCTATTCCATGTTGACTATCTGAGTTAATCTTTCCCTCATAAAATGAGTGTGGCTGGAAGAGAGAGAAGGTGGAGAGGATAGAGAGGAAATAGAGAGGGGAAGGTAAGGATGGGAGAGAGAAGAAGAGGGAAAAGTGAGGAATAAGGAGAACAGGTTAGTCAAGGATGGCAGAAGAAGCTGATGAAGCAGAAGCAGAGACAAAGGGGAGTACAGTCACCATAACTGTGGAACCATGAGAGCAGAGTACTCATACTGAAGCAACGACGAGGTAACAGGCAGCGTGAGCTACAATGTGTCTTGACTGGATATAACCGATTTTGTCTGAGGCCTGGCTGTGCAGCTGTTGAGACTCCCTTTGTTTGTTTTTAGTCAACTTTTCTCTGAAGTGCATCATACACACAGGAAAGTATACAAATCTTAAGTATACATTTTGATGAGTTTTCAAAAATAGTATACACCAATGCAACCACAAGAAATAAAGTATTACTAGGCCTCATGGCACTCTGCCTGGCTGAAGGTAACAACTATCCTGATCTTTAATCATTATAAGTTAGTTTTGTCTTTTTGAACTATATACAAGCAGAATCATGCTGTGCGTATTTTTGTGTCTAGCTTCTTTCATTCAGCATTCTGTTTATGAGATGGATTCATGTTGTTGCATATACTTGTAGTTCATTCATTCCTATTCCTGTACACTATTCAATTCTATGAATATACCACAATTGCTATTTATCCATTTAATAGCTGATAGGAATTTGAGTATTTTCTTACTTTTGGTTATTGTAAAAAATGCTGCTATGAGCCTTCTCAGACGTGTCTTCCATGAACTTAACGTATGCATTTTTGTTGGGCAATGTATCTAGGACTGGAATTGCTGGGTCAAAAGGCATGTTACATTCTGCTTTAGTATTCATAGGCAAATTGTCTTCTAAAGAGGTTATTCTAAAGAGCTTATTACCCTACCACCAGTGGTGTATTAGAGACCAGATGTCACTCATTTTTGCCACGTTTGGGATATCTTGGTTAATTTTTTTTTTCATTTCTAGCTCTTCTGAGGAGTGTATAATAGTATCACATTGTGATTTTAATTTGCATTTCCCTGATGATTAATTAGGTTAAGGCCATTTGGATGATATCTTGTTGAAGTGCTTGTTCAAATATTTTGTCCAATTCTTAAATATTGGTTTTTTATTGTGGGTCAAGTACAATGTGAAATAGAAGTGGTGGCAATGGTCATCCTTGTCTTGCTTGTGATCTCAGAAGGATAGCTTTTAACATTTTACTGTAGTTATGAAGGGTACTATAAGTTGTTTTTGTTATAAATTAGTTTTATGAGATTAATAAAGTTTCTTCCTACTTAAAATTTCTTAAGTATTTGTATCATAAATAGATGTTAAGTTTTATTTATTGCCTTTTCTGAACGTATAAAGATAATTACATAGTTTTTCTTGTTAATTCCACCCATGTGATGAATAACACTGATTGATTTTTCCATTGCTGAAATAAACCTGGTCATGATACGCTACGCTTTTTATATATTCTTCAATTCCACCAGCTAATACTTTGTTTAGGATTTTTGTGACTACATTCATCAGAGAGATTTGCCTGTACTTTTTTTTTTTGATAGGTTTTGGCATTCAGATCACACTGGATACATAAAACAAGTGGGAAAGTTCTTCCTCTGTCTCTATCCTCTGAAAGAATGTATGTAAGATTATTGTCATTTCTTACTTAAGAATTAAGTCTCAAAGAATTAATATCTGATGCCATCTGGGCCTGGGATTTTGTGTGTGTGTGTGTGTATGCGTGTGTGTGAAAGCTTTTGATTACAGATTCAATTTCTCTACTATATATAAGAATATTCAGATTTTCAGTTAAATATGTTGGATAAATGATGTGTTTCAAGGAATTTGTCCATTTCATATAAATGGTCAAGTGTATTGCTGTTAAGTTGTTCACAATATTCTCTTACTATCTTTTTAATGTCTGTCCGATTTGTCATGAGGTCCCCTTCCATATTCCTGAAATTCATGATGTGTACCTTCTCTTTTTTCTTGATCAGCTTTGCTAGACATTCATCTATCTATTTGTCTATCTATCATCGATCTATCTATCATCTTTTCCAAGAATAAACTTTTGGCTCTATTGATTTTTCAGTATTCCACATTTTGCCATTTAATTAATTTCCACTTCATCTTTATCATTGCCTTCCTTCTATGTTCTTTGGATTTCTTTCACAGCTCTGCTTCTAAGATCTTGAGATGGAAATTTAGATGACCGGTTTTTAGCCTTTCTTCTTTTATAATATTTATGGTTACCTATAAATGTGTCACAAAACTTCCTCAAACTAAGTTGCTTGAAAAGGAAATTTGTTATTATCTTTCACATTTCTGGGGATTGAAGGGCTCAGCTGGGTGGTCCTCACTGGGATTCCACATATGGGAGCAGTCAGGTGGCAGCTGGGGTTAGAGCTGCATGCAGGCTATTTCACTCACATTTTGGGATTTGGGCTAAGATGGTTGGCATGTCTGGGGGTATGATCAGGCATCTCCCTCTCTCTCCACATGCATAACCTTGACGTTTTTACTGCTTGGTGGTCACAGGGTAGAGACATTTTACATGGTTAATTGTACATCATTCCCCAGAGGGATCATTCCAAGAGATCCAAACAAAAGCTTCTAGGTTTCTTATGATCTATTTGATCTCGAAGTCACATAGCATCACTTCTTAGACATCTATTGGTTAAAGAAGTCACAGGCCAGCTGAGATTCCAGGAGGTACAGGAATTCCTTCTCTTAATGTGGGAATTGTATGTATGTCTAGGGAAGAAAGAAGTTGATGGCAACCTTCTTGGAGAGAGCATATCACACTAATATGTTCATTTAAAGCTATAAATTTACCTAAAAATAAAGTATTAGCTGCATCCCACAGGTTTTCATGGTTCATAATTTAATCATCATCAAATTCAAAATATTTCTTAATCTACATTATTTCTCTTTTTTTTTTTTTAAGGATTGGCACCTGAGCTAACATCTGTTCCAAACTTTCTTCTTCTTCTCCCCAAAGCCCCCCAGTACATAGTTGTATATTCTTGTAGTAGATCCTTCTGGTTGTGCTATGTGGGACGCTGCCTCAGCATCACTTGATGAGTGGTGCCATGTCTGCACCCAGGATCCGAACCAGTGATCCTTTGGTGAACCAGGGCCATCCAAGTGGAGTGTGCGAACTTAACTACTTGGCCATGGGGCTGGCTCCCCTAACATTTCTTGTTTGGGTTATCTTTTGAGGTATATTTGGGGGGTTTTCCAAACAATTGAAGAATTTCCAATCATCTTGTTACTATGAAATGCTAGATAAATTCCACTGTGGACAGAAAATATACTCTGTGTGCTTCAATTATTCAAAAGTTGTTAAGGCTTGCTTTATGTTCCAGCACAAGGTCAATTTTGGCTTAAGAAAATCTATGTTTACTGGAAAATAAGATGTATTCTGTGATTGCCAGATGCTTTGTTTTCTGTATGCATATATGCACATATATATACATATATTATATGTGCATATATTTCAAATATGTATATTTAATTAGTTCAAGTTTGTCAATCATGCTTTTCATATCTTTATCTTAAAGGATTTTTTTACATGCTTGTTATATCAGTTAGTGAGAGAAGCATAGTAAAATCTCTTTGTCTGTTTTACATTTGTCCTTTAATGACTGCAATTTTTGTTTTATATTTTCTGAAGCTCTATATGAGGGGCATACAAATTTATAATTGCCACATCTTCCTAGCAGATTAACCCTTTGTTCTTATAAAATGTTCCTCTTTACATCTTGCTTTGCTTTTTTTATTAAAGTTGAGGTTTTGTGATATTAGTATAGTTATGTCAGCTTTCTTTCGGTTTGCATCTGCATGACATTTTATTTTCTAAACATCTCTGTATTCATATATTTGAAAAAATATATCCATATATCTATATCCACATCTATATATGTTATTTTAAATATTCTAACATCTTTTTTAACTGAGGTATTATATCATGACTTGTAATGTAATTACTGATATATTTGGATTAAATGTACCAGTTTACTATTTTTCTAAATTTTCATATATTTTAGGCTACTTTTACTCTCCATTCTGATATACTTTTAAATGTATTATTTTTGGTGTTCTATTTTCACTCTTTATTAGATTGTCAGTTACACATTCCTTTATTATTCTTTTAGTGGTTACTCTGGATATTACAACATCTATTATTAAAGTCTAAGATAAATTAGTACTTTAACCACTTCCCCGACAATGCTAG